TGTCTTAATTATAAGCTTCAACAGTTTTCTATTTGTGATCTGTTTAATAGATTAAGAACTTAATGATTTGTATAAAATTACATTGGCATATTTTTTTTTAATGTATGGACAATATTATAATGATAAAAATATATTAGTATTTTACAATAAAATAAATTATGGGTAAGCCTTTCTAAATCTTCAGATATACTACTACCTCGGTGCAGGTATGCAATTTAACAAAATGTGACCTAATCAGCTGTGGTAGAAATTTGTTGAATATCGATATCGGTTTTGTAATTTCTTTTTATATTATGTTTTAGATACTGTTATATTTATATTCAACCCTGTAATTCATTGATTTCAATCAATTTGAAAACGAAAAAGACAACATGAAGGTAAGTTCATTTACATAAATGTGTAATCTATTTGCTAGCGTATATTTTTTTTAAATTCAAGTGATCCTTTATTCTAAACTTCTGTGTATTAAACTAGGCATTATTTACTTTCATATTTCAAAGCTACAGCATAAACCTAAATTCACAGGGTTAAGAAACAGTTAGATAACGTGACATTTAAATACAATAACCATAGTAATGTAACGCATGGATTTGCAGTATTTAATTTATTTTTTATTCACGATCTTCGATTAGTGTCCAAACAACTTTGATAATGGTTTTTGATAGACCCAATTTTGTATTGGAATAAATGATTGATAGGCCCAATATTGATTTATTGAAAGTTTATAGGCCTATACCCCTTCCAAATTAAGTAAATAACATATCCAATACTGTACTTCTATTAGAATTATCTCACATATTTTGTTTTACAGCCAACGCTTACTTGCAACGTATGTAACAAAGTTTTCCAAACTCGCTTCAACTACAATAGACACCTTTCCCGTCACACAGATGTCAACCAGCACCAATGTGATAAGTGCGGTAAAGTATTTGCAAGGCATGACAATTTTGTTCGACACCTTAACAACAAGCATGGTAGTGAAAATAATGCGCAAAGTGGGTATGGTACAGACCAAGTAGATGAACCTACAACCAAGCGACAGAAGTTATCTAACAATGGGCGTGATTTTTATCAAGTCACAGATATGACGGAAGTTGATATGAAAAAATTCAAGACGAAAGCAATCCAGTACACCGTTAAATTCAACGACGATTTAGATATTCATGATTCAACTACCGTCCTAATTACGCTGCATAAAGTTTTTCAGAGTCTCATCAACACCTTGACGGATGGAGCTCATCCCGATGATCTGATTCGTATGGTGGTAGAGTGTCCAGAATTAGATTATCCGATACAACTTCCATTGATGAAAAAACGACACTTGACGGCAGAACTGTTTCTTGCGAGAGTAGAGCGAGTACTACTGTCAGTCGTACGAAGAATTCAGCATCGATGGGTCACTCGAAATACAGGTTACGCACGTACAAATGCCCAGAGGAGGAAAAATTCCCAAAAAAAGATACGTCGACCTGGAACGCTTCTTAAGAGAAAAACAATGTATTATTAGAATTCAAAATAAAGATGAAATATGTTGC